GGTTGGGGGGGGGGCCCCCCCCCCGGGGGGGGGGGGGTGATTTCTCGCTTTCTATCTCTCTGTCTCTCTCTTTCTGTCTGGTGAGCACACGTACCCTATAGCAAAAACCTCTCCAAAAAAAAAAAAAAAGAAAAGTTAATTTACTTCTTTCTTCCATGAGAGAGAAATAGAGAAAGAGAAAGACATCCCCAGTGGGTCTTCCCACTGCAGTCCACCCCCAGTCTCAGCTAGTCTGGGTCTGGGCATGCACACAGGTGCCCAGTGTGCTCGGCTCACGGGGGAGTTGGGATGCCATGCCACCTACCGCTGTGCCACACCTGGCCCTTGGTTCCTAAACCTTTTTTTTTTTTTTTTGCTATAGGGTGCATGTGCTCACCAGAGAGATAAAGAGAGACAGAAAGCAAGAAATCATCCACCCCTGGGTGGGGGAGGATGGCCACGCAACAATCCCTTCTCCATTCTCGCCTTGGGATTTGGGCATACATGCACACGGTGAGTTTAAGCTGTTGGATCTGGGACTCACTGCAGCCGACTATGTGGGAGTCCAGTGACATAACCATTATGCTATCTGCTGGTCCTGGTTCCTAAACTTCTGATATATAAAGAACTGATCTCGGGACCAGCAGATGGCATAATGGTTATGTTGCTGGATTCCCACATAGTTGGCCGTGGTTTGAGTCCCAGACCTGGTGACTTAAAACTCACGCTGGGCGTATGCGCGTGTGTGTCCAAGATACTGAGAGGAGAAAGGATAGGGGTGTGGCCATCCCCCTGCAGGGTGATTTCTTTCTTTCTGTACACTCTATAGCAAAAATGTCTCTCTTTAAAAAAAGAAAAAAACAGGGGCCGGCAGGTGGCATGGTGGTTAAGGGCACTGGACACTCACATGGTCGACCACAGTTCAAGTCCCAGACTTGGCGGCTTGCTTTCTCGCTTTTCCTCTCTCTCTTTCTCACTCTGTCCCTTGCTGGTAAAGATTAAAATGAATAAATAAAATTAAGTTAAAGAAAAAAAATTTTTTTACAAATCAAAGAAAAATAATTTAAACAAAACAAAAACCTGATCTTATCTGCAAGCATTTTGCTTATATTTGAAGGTTACTTCCAAAAGGTTGAAACTAAAGGAATTCTGTACTGGGTCTGGTCTGTCAACCCTATTTCCTTCCCAAGCCAATCTACCCTCTACCTTCTTAACCCTCTCCTCACAGAATGCCAACTCACACATGTCAGCTTGAGCTGGGTAGGTCTCACTGGGATGCTCCCAGCCTCACCTGTGGGTCAACCAGCCAGCCATGGTATAGAGGTATGCCTAGGAGGTCAAAGACACTGCACTCCGGCGTGTACTCGAAGTCGGAGACACCCGTGAACCTCACGTTGACGTCCAGGCCCGTGGCCAGTTTAGGCAGCACTGTCATCGCATCGTTCACATTCTAGAAAAGGAAATGTTGGACACTTTAGCCTCCTCGCCCACTGCTCAGCTCCCACCTCCAGAAATAAAGATTATCCCCATGCTTTCTCCCCCGGTTCTCTTACAATTGTTCCATTCCTCCCTGGTCTCAACCTTTCTTTATCTTATCTAAATGGAATATTTCCTTTCGTATTCCTCCTGCTGCAGAACAAAATCATGGTGTAAGGAATCCTCTACAGCAGCAAAAGGCACCAGCTCTGGGTGTACCCTTACAAACCTGCAACCCCCTATTGTCCACAGACCCTTCGCCTCACCTGCTGAAAATTAAGCTGAAGTCCTTCGGACTTCTCCTGGGGCTTGATGGACAGGAGGCAGTTTCCTAGGAGACAAAATCCCTTATCAGCTTACCCCACCAACTGTCCCAATAGCTCAGCTTCCTCCTCTCCTGGCAGATGAATGTAAAAATCACAGAACCCCAGATTTTCAGAGCTGGAAAGCATCTCAGAAAAAGAAATAGGCTTCTAAAGGTTAAGGGCCCGCTCAAGGTCACATGCAAAAGCTAAGCGCAGGATTGGCGTTACCACGCAGGATGCCTGACCCTTGATCTTTGTTTTTCTTTCTTTTTAAAATGTTATTTATTGTAACTGTTATTTTATTTCTGATCATTCTTTCGCTTTTATTATTATTAATTAATTTTTTTTTTGAGAGAGATTTTTGCTTTAGGGCACACACACTCACTAGAGAGACAGAGAGAGACAGAAAGTGAGAAATCACCCCTTAGTGGGGATGGCCATGCCACAAGCCCCTCTCCTCAGTTCTCCTCTCAGGATCTTGGGCACGCATGCACCTGTACCGGCATGAGTTTTAAGTTGCGGGTCTGGAATTCGATGCAGTCAACTACATGGGAGTCCAGCGATATAATCATGACACCATCTGCTGGTCCCTTTTTTATTATTATTTAAATTTATTTTATACATTCAATCTCTGTACATCACTACAGCTTATAAAATAAACATACCCAACTTGACCACGCTTCCCACCAGACCAGATGAAGATAGCATACACGTGACCATCAACTGACCTGTGCTTTTCATCCTCTAGTCTTACAGAGAAGCCCAGGAGACCCTTAACCGCCCTGTCCCATCAGAAACCCCACATGGGGATCCCTCGGGAGTCTGGATTTCTGGCTGAGTAGATAACTCTGGAACCCCTTAGGTAATTCCTCTTCAAGGACCACTCACCAAGGTGGGTCATGAGCTCATCCGACGTGATCACTTCCTTCTGGGGGGGCAGCTTCACCTGGAGGCAGAAGGAGTGATTATGTGGGTGCTTTCCCTCACAGAGCTCTGAGGGGAGGAACCCATAGAAGCCGGGGCTGGGGATGCAGCAGGAGGTGATGGGGAGGGAAAAAATTCCTTACAACTGGAGCAAAGGAATGAATGTGGATGGGGCTGGCAGGTGGCATGATGGATAAGGGTGCTGGACTCCCACATGGCTGACTGTGGTCCGAGTCCCGGACCTGGTAGCTTGCTTTCTCACTTTTCTTCTCTCTCTCTCTCTCACTCTGTCCCTCTCTGGTCAAATTAAAATAAATAAAATAAATAAATAAATAAAGTAAAATAAAATAATTCTTTTTTCAAAAGAATAGGAATGAATGTGAAATACTACATGGTATTTCTATTTGTTAGAGAGAAGATACTGGAATATGAAAGTTTTTTGGTTTCAGATGTTTTTGCTTTGTTTTTAGGAACATCTAATCTCATTTGTTCAAGCTAGAGAAATAGGGAGATTAACCTGGAAAGTTTTTTTTTTAGAATCATTTTATTTAACTTTATTTACTTATTTGTTTTAATTTGACCAGAAAAGGGACAGAGAGAGAGAGAGAGAGAGAGAGAGAGAAAGCAAAAAAGCAAGCTACCAGGTCTGGGACTTGTGGGACTTGAACTGTTGTCGGCCATGTGGGAGTCCAGTGCCCCTAACCACCCTGCCACCTGCCAGCCTCTAATCTGGAGAGTTTTGACTGACTTGAGAAAATTAGGATCTTTCCTTCTTCTTTTTTTTTTAAAATTAAATAGTATCACAATCTGTTGAGAGCCTCCTGCCTCAGCCTCCTGAGCAGCTGGAATTACAGGAGTATGCCGCCATACCCAGCTTCTTAGGGTAGCTAGAGAATGGACCCTGGGCCTCAGCGTGGCCTCAGCCTGTCAAGTAACAGTGTCCACAACCATGTGTTACTGAGGCTGGGCAGAAAATCAGGATGATCAAGGAGAAGAATGAGGGAAGATACTCCCCAGTATTCTCTGGACCTCCCTCTGAATTCTTACATACCTTCCACTGAAGAAAGAGGATGTTCATGATGGCAAGGAGGGGGCATGGACCATTTGTGCTCTGGGTGATGATGGGTGTCCGCTCTCCCTTCCAGGGAATCCACTTTACACAGTAGAAATCTGGCTCAGGCTGTCGGGTCCTGGGAGACTGGGGGAGCTCCTGAGGCCTAGAGCATGCCCCCACCGTCTCTACCTCGGGTGATATCCCGTGGGCTGGCCCCAGTAGACTTGAGCTAGCTTCAGGTGGAGGGGATTCGAGGCTATCCCCACCTCGGGCAGACGGCAAGGCTTGGTGTCCTGGCTCCTGTCCTACAGGCACCTCATCAGCATCTCTAGCATCCCCGTCCTGATGGTCCTCTTCTGGTCCTGACAGGACCTCCTGGTTTTCAGGGGTGACTTCTTCTGCATTCTTAGCCTTCCCAGGGACTGGATATTCAGGCTGATGGTGTTCCATGGTCTAAAAGAAGTCAACCAGGGGCCACCGAAGGTGTTCACTGACCTCAGGGACTTGCCTAAGTCACACTTGATAGGCCAAACAGGACCTGTCCAATCAGAAGACAAGCACTGGGCTGGGAAGCAAATGATTCAGACAGTCTAGGAAAAGGAAAACCGTGCGGAAAGCTGGCCAGTGTCCGCACAGGCGCACCTGGCTATGGGTAGGATGTGTCTTTCTCAGTTTGTGGAAACAGATGAGCCCCAGCTCTTTCCGCTTCTAAGTTGCTCAGACCAGATGGGACCAATGAGGGCATGGGCTTCCAGGCTGGGGAAAGATGATTCTAGTAGGATTGAAGACCTTGGGTGGAGTCAGCTTTCCTGAAACAGACAATGACAGGGAGAAAGGGAGGGTGCAAAGGAGAAAGACAGGGGAGGAAATAAGAAAGCAAAGTTAAAACTATGGTAGGGTTGGGCCAGCAGGTGGTGTGTTGGTTAAGATGCTGGATCCCTGGACTACCAGATGACATAATGGTTACATCGCTGGACTCCCACAGAGTTGACCGTAGTTCGACTCCCAGACCCGGTGGCTTAAAACTCACACCAGGCATGTGTGCGTGCGTGCCCAAGATCCCAAGAGAAGAATGGAAGAGAAGGGATTACAGCCTGGCCATCTCCCCTGGGGTTAGGGTGATTTCCTGCTTTCTATCTCTCTGTCTCTTCAGTGAACGCACATGCCCTATAGCAAAAATCTCTGGAGAAAAAAAAAAGATGCTGGATCCTAAAAGATGCTGACTCAGTGATTCGAGTCGTGGACCTTGAGAGTCTTGAGAAACACGCTGAGCACATGGGCATGTGTGCCCCAAATCTAGAGTGGATTATGGAGGAGAAGGGATTGTGGCATGGTCATCCTCTTTGGGAGTTTATTTCTCACTTTCTTTCTCACTCTATCTCCCCCTAGCAAGTACATGCACCCTATAGCAAAAGTCAAAAACAAAAACAAACCACTGATAGTAGGGTTGGGCCAGCTCCATAACCTGGAGTTTGTTAAAGCAGTCTACATGGCTGACCAAGCAATTCCAATCCCAGCCCCAGCACATGTGCGTGTATACCCCAAATCTTAACAGGACGGAGAAATGGAGGAGAAGGGCTTGCAGCGTGACTATGCCCTTTTGGGGGGTTCTCTCTCTCTCTCTCATAAGTGCACATGCTCTCTGGCAAAGTAAAAACAAACAAACTGTGGTAGTGTAATTAATACGGTGATCTTCAGCTCACCCTGTAATGGTGTTACACCAGCAACCCCACAACAAGCAGGTCAGTCATCCCTCTGCACCAACCCCGCCCTTTCATGGAACATCCTGAGCAGCGCAGGGTGCCGTATCCTCAGCGATGCCTCCTCTCCACCTCGCCCAGGGGGATGAAGGAAAGATAACAGTCTCACTAGTGCTTGGAGTGAGGAGGAGATGCAGAGTCAGCAGCGTGCCCCGTGTGCCCTGTAAGCGGCACGCTGGTGAGGAAGGGAAGTTGTTCTCCTCCGAGTACTCTACTGACCCTTACACAATCCCAAACCACAGCGCAAGGCCTTGGGAGGGGCTTCCTGTTGCCTGGAGAAGGGAAATGCAGGCCACGGGGACCTGAATCAGACACTGGTGCTGATACAAGTAACTAAAGATAAGGGGCACAAAGAGCACGCCCTCACACAGATTCTTCCTGTAAGCTTGTCTTTTTTCCTTTATAAAGAAACTTGTTTTAACTTTATTCATTTATTTCTTCCATAAACAGGAGAGAGACAGATGGCACCTCCAATAGAGTCCTGATGACACGATACGCCCCCACCCGTTAGCCACCCCCAAATCATGGGCACCTCCATGCCCAGCATACTCAGGGAGGCCTCCAGACTCAAACCAGGAACCTTTCAAGGTGGGGGTGCTTCACAGAGTGTCACATTTTCCTGTGCACCACTGTCTAGACCCAGAAAGCTTTTCTTGACAGCTGGAGTTGAGGTACAAACTTTTCAGCTCCTTATACTCAAAACTGCCTAAACCCAGAGATGCTCTCTTGCCCAGTATTTATATGAAATATCAAACTGCCAGTTATTGATTTATGTCAAAATACTCCCTTGGGCCAGTTGGTGGTATAGAGGTTAAGGGAGCTAGATCCCATATAGCTGGCAGCATGGTTCAAGTCCTGATCTCAGAGGCTACAAAATCATGTTGGGTGGGGCCAGTAGGTGGCATAGTGGTTAAAGCACTGGACTCCCACATGGCCAACCATGGTTTGTATCCGGGACCAGGTAGCTTGAAAATCACACCAGATGTATGTGCGAGCATGCCCAAAAATCCCAGGAGGAGAGAAGAGAATGGATTTCAGCATGGGTATCCTCCCGGGGATTTCTCATTTTCCCTCTCATTGTCACTGTCTCTCTCCGTCAAATGCACATGCCCTATGACAAAAACCTTACAAAAAAAAAAAAAAAGAAAGAAAGCAAAGAAAGAAAGAAGAAACGAAAAAAGAAAAATCACACTGGGCGCATGTGCATATGTGCTAAAGTCCTGAGAGGAGAATGGAGAAGTGGAGGAGAAAGGATCGCAGTGCGGCCATGCCCCCGGGGGTGATTTCTCACTTTCCTCTCTGTCTCTCTCTGGCAAGTGCACAGGCCCTATAGCAAGAGCTATAGATATAGATAGATATATATATACGTATCTATATGTATATCTATATATACACTCCCTCTACATTCGCCTGCCTGTGCGAGTGTGCTTAATGTCTATTCCCGTCTTGGTCATTTTAGACAGGAACACTGGACCTGTTCAACCTGCTTTCTATCAGCACTAAGCATCAAGACAAGCCTAAATAGACATTTAATTAATGCCGCGGATGGCAAAGGAGGAAAAGCCACAGCCTCAGCCCCCTGGAAGACATCTCCCTTCCATCTCCTTGCTTCCCTCCCCCTTCTATAGTCAAGGTGAGAAATCAAACGAGGAGTTAGAAACCTCATCCTTTCTCCAACTTCTTCCTAACCTGAGTCTACGCTTCCTTCTTGTAAACCTGCAGGAATTTGGTGTGAGAGGAGGGGCTGGGAGATGAGGTTGGGAAACACTCAAGTTGCTGAAATAAAATAAGCCTAGTCACCCACATTGATCATCCTCCTGACTCAAAATGTATGCTGGCCGCATCTCATTTATGGCGGTAGTTTAGACTCAGAGTAGCAACCCTTGCCTGCAGGCCTTCCACCTCTCTCTCCTTCTCTCTCTCTTCCTCCCCTCTGCAATACACTTAGGGTGAGCCTTGAAGCAGGTGCCAGAGCCTCAGAAAGTTTAAAAAGCTTGCAGAAAAACAGGGCTCATGGTTTATCTTTTCTGTCCAGTGAGAGAACGATCAATAATTTAGTGGGGTGGGGCAGCTAGCTGGCTAGAGGTAGGAGCCAAAAGAAACCAGGAGCTGGACACCCGGGGGTGGGCTCCCAGGGAACTGGGTAGCGCGGAGTGGGCTAAGTCTTTAAGAGGCCTGGCCAGGCGGTGTAGCAGAGGGTTTCGGCCCCATGAGATACATCCTGCCCAGAGAGCAGGGAGTATTTCAGAGTAGGAAAGTGGGAAGGGGAGGATATTTGAAGGAGTCAGGATTTCAGTCTTTCCTCCTCTTTTTCCAGCACCTCAAGTCCTCACTTTCTCTCCAGCTGCAACTATCCCATGGTGGTGGACGCAGGAATTAGAAGAGCCCTGGCCCTTCCTTAGTGGCAATAAACAGCCAAAAGTTGAGAGAAGCATAGAAAATAGGCATGTGGCTTCAAGAAAACACTCTCCTGCTGTCCTCACCCCCAGCTTTTCTGTCCCTTCTAGTCCCTCTGTCCACTCTCTGTCTCCACCTGACCCAAATCTTCATCCACCCAGAGGGTTAGGTCTGTCCCCTCCAGACAGATCAAACACCACGCAGGGGCAGGGCCGGTCCAGTAGCTCACAGGAGAGGGGAGGGTTTCGTCGGGGTGGGGAGGAAGTGCAGCGAGCGGGCTGCATCCCTCCCACAGGCTGCTCCTGCCTCAGCCCTCAGCATCCAGACTGGAAGGGACCAAGGTGGGGGGCCGTCAGGTGTCAACCCTCTAGAGCTGAAGAGGAAAAGGGAAACTGGGGGTGGCAAACGGAAGAAAATGACTAAAACAAAGTTTTTACCTTAAAGAAGTGGGTGCTGGTCCAGGACTGAAAGGAGGGTTCGGCTCTGGCCACTCGATGTGGGAGGTGGGTACACTGAGGGGCACCCTTCCAGCTGTCAGCACCAGAGCTTATTCAGGCTTACACAGGTTTACGAGCTGGTCCTGGCTGGGTCATGGCCACTTCCGGACTCCCGCCCAGGACTGGGGGCCGTGGAGGAAGGTGAGGGCAGACAGGAGCACAACCCAGGTGCTCTGAGCGGCTCAGAGGTCTTCAGGATCCCTGAGTTGCCGAGTCTAGGGGGTGTACTCCAGGCCCTGCCTACAAGCTGGTTTTCAAAGGAAGTTTGTGGTTTTTCTTTTTTCTTCTTTCTCTCTCTCTCTCTTTTCTTCCCATCGGGACAAAGAAAAATTAGCCAAGGACAAGCTCCCCGGAGGAGGAGGAGCCTGCCCAGCACTGGAGGATTTCCATCAAGGCTTTCTGACCCGGTCGGCAGCTTGGTGATCAGCAGAGAGGGAGAGGGAAACAAGGAGAGAAAAACAACAGACCCTTTCTCTTCCCTCCGCCCCGCCGCTGGAAGGGACAGAGCGCTTGTGCCTCTCTGGTGAGAACGGGGAAGAGCAAGTGCCCTTGCTGAGCAGGGAGGAGCCGCGCTGGACAGCCACAGGCTTGCTGGATCTGGCTTGCTCCCTGGGAATGGCAGCCTTTTGCTCTGGATCCACAGAAGCAGGGTCAGAGTATGGTGTTTGCATATTACTCATGTCATGGGGGAAAAAAAAAAAGCCTCCTCCTTCCTCTCTGAAGCCCTCTGAGGGCTCCCTTTCTAAGAACTTTCTGTGTCATATTTTTTTAGTCTAGAAATGAAACTGGATGAGCCATGCCCCTGGTAATATGCAGAAGAAGGTGTGGAAGAAGCCCCAGAGTGGGAGGAGAGCTCAGCAAGAAGAGAATTAGCAGAGCGAGCAGGAGTTCTGACAGCCCTGTGCTCATTTCCACCATGGGCCTCAGCTTCTCATCCGTTACCTCTTCTCAGTTTCCTACTTGGGAAGCGGGAAAGCTGGAATGAGGCTGGTGGTAGGAGATGAAGGGGCCGATTAGGAGACAAAGGAACATTTGATGATGAAGGTACATTCGCAGCACCCTGCACTACTCTCGGGTTGGAAAGTGGCAGTTAGGGGAGGTTGGAACCTAACTCTACATTCTGAAGGATCCTTCAAACTTACTTACAGGGCTGCCTCGGGATGAAACTTCAAGCTACTCGGAGGGCTGAAAGAGCCGCTGGAACAATGAGGGTGGAGGAGAGCAAACAATCAAGGTTACCATAGTCCGAAGAAGGAATAAGGGGACCTTTGCCCAGACTGCAGGGCTAAAGGAAGATGCAGCAGGAGTTGGCGAGAGACTGGAGGTAGTAAGTAAAGAAGAGGAGTCAGCGATCATCCTAACATTTTTTCTAGCATGGACGACCACAAAATTGGTAGCCATGGGTCTGTTTTGTGAGGGATTGACTTCCAGAAAGAAAGCTGCTTTGCATGTGTAAAATGTAAACCAGATGCTCTGTGTAATATATGCAAGGACCCTGCACGTAGCCTGATCTGAAGGGGGAAGCTCCGACACCACAAAGGTGGGTTACTGTGACATATACCCATTTGGGTATTTAACGCACGGTCGGTCCCTCAGAAAACCTCCCTCTCAGTTGGTACGGGCATCTCGAAGCAGCTGGACTACGTTTCCCAAGACTCCCTGCGCCACGCCCTTCGCGCTTCCGGAAAGACGTCCCAGGAGTCTCTGGGCGCAGAACCTCGCCTCGGCGTCGGGGGCGGGGCGGTGCCGGGCACCGGGAGTGCCCGGTTACGTACTTCCTCCTGGGGTCGGAGGCCGAATCGCCGTATGGAGGGTTCGAGTCCCGCCTCCTGATTCTTGCCACTACCCTCCCTGCGTTCCGGGTGGGGCGCAGTCGCCGAGGACGCTCCTCGACCAGGGGCGACGGCATACCTTGGGCTTCACCATGGAGGACTACCTGCAGGGTTGTCGAGCTGCTCTGCAGGTAATGGATCCCAGTGTGGGACTGTAAAGAATGGAGCATGGGGTCCAGGGAGGACGAAGAGGTGGGATCCGGGAAGCCCGGACCGTCCGTGTGGAGGGAGCGCGAGTTGTGGCGAGGGGGGCGTGGGGTCTGGGCAGGCTTGGAGCCTGAGGCGCGAGAGCCTAGCGGGCGAGCCTGAGAATGCTGCACGGCCCAGTGTCCCCGCGTCGGGGGTCCCCCCCCTTTGGGTTTTCCCGGGGGCGGGG